GGTCGATTTTGTTGCGATTCAGCAGCGATTCGCAGATGTAAATTCTGTCCATCATGTTTTTTTGCGTTAGTTTGTGCGGCATCCAAACTTCGAGCTTTTTTTTGAATCCAAGGCTATGCAAATAGTTTCAAACGGTTTTCTGGCTTATCTTAAGTTCCTCCACAACTAAATAAGTGCCCACGTGACGGTCTGTTTCCACCGTTTCTATGATTTTATCGCAATTTTCGACGACAGGCCTCCCGACGCGTGGTGCATCTTTGACATCGAAATTACCGGATCGGAACCTAGCAAATCACTTCATTTACACGTACGTTCGTTTACAGTATCGGACCCATAAACTAAATTAATTTTTTCAGCCGCTTTGGCTGCTTTTACGTCTTGATCAAAGAAAAATTTAAAATATAGCGAATTTTCACTTTGCTGGTCCATCTTTGCTCCATCTTTGACGAGCGCTCACAACGTACTGAGTCAATCCATCGAAAAACTTTCAAAGACAAACTTTTAGTGCGAATAAACACCTTTTCAGCGCCGTATGGTATGACCTGTAACACTAGTACTATGGACAATAACGCCATCTCTTAGATAAAAACCGAACGAACTTTTTACTTGATCATATTATGTATGTTTGTATAAACATGATTTATTCACTTACTAGCTCGGCGAGTTTCCCATACTGGTGAAGGGATCATCGTTTGCATCATAGAAATCCTCCTCATCTTCGCTGCTGGAATAAGAGGTTTCAGGCACATCTACAGCCAGTGGAGCAGTTGTTGCTAGATAATAAGAAAAGAAATTTAAGTATATTTGTTAAAAAAAAAACTTTCATAGAGTAGCGAATAATAGGAGCAATATTAATGAGACCAGAAATAATAAATTTAATGAAAATAATTATTCAAAAAAAAAAAACCGAAAAATTACACAAATAAAATGAGAAAGGCAAGAAAGCAACTGGGAATGTTTTAGAACTATTTTTTCTAAAATTCCATAATCAACCGAAACAATTAATTTTAAAGTAAGTAAGTTTAAGGGAATTTCGCCCACAACACATATATGTATTGGGAGTGGAAAATAATTCGATTCGTTTTTTGTGTTCAAAAAAGTGCTTTTATTTAAGAAAGTAAGAAATCAATTTCCAATCCAATTCAAAGTATTATTCGTCGGAAGCATCTACTGTTTTGCCATCTCTCTGATAATTTGAAATATAAATGATTGGTGCTTGGGGAATGGTAGTACGCACTGCTAACCACTCAACCACTCGGCATTCTCTAAAAAAAATAGTCTCCTTTGTCTTCGATCCAATTATTGCGTCACCTTTCGTTTTCTTCATAAGACCGGAACCGGTGACACCCGAAATCGTTTTGCAACCATCGAAAAAACCAGTAATAGGAAGAACCAAGATTTGGGGAATACGGCGAGTGGGAAAACACCACTCATTTCAGCTTTTCCAGGTAGTTTTTGAACCTTGGCGACGTTGCATCAATAATTTCGCCTGGCTTTAACAGCCAATAGCACACCCACCACACCTGTCTGGTATTACCATGTGCAGAGCATGACCCTTGAAGCGTGTAGGTTTTTCTTTAACGGCTATGCATGGAACAGGCTCAGCAGGTGTGGTATGATATTTTATTTCATTCTGGAGATAGCGTAGTATCTCCATTCTTCACAACCAGTCGCGATGCGGCTTTGACAGATTTTTTTCACATTTTTCGGCTTTAACTCGTACGGAACTCAATTTCTTTGATTTTGAATAAAACCAAATTATTTTATCTAACTGAACGGAAATTATTTGTTATTATCAGTTTTCATGGATCTTGATCCAGCAAAGCCTCCATACTTTCCTCATTTTTAAACTTTTTGCCTAAGTCAGGACGCTTCTTGCCTTTGACGCAGAAACCACCACCACTCACTCACTGCATGACTCATTGGTCATTGGTCAAAACTTCCCACAAATGCTGTTTATATAACCCAAATCCGGACATTTACGAAAGAGGCCGAAAACAGTGTTGTAGTCGAAATAGACGCTGATGCACACTAATTATGGTTGAGAGATGTAAAATCTTTCTTATGAAATAGGTAATCGCTTCCAAGATCTGCGACAACTTCTAGCTGGAGTCATACTCCGAGAATGGATCGAATTAATTTGTATTCCCAATATGTATGTATGTATGTATGGATGTACATAATGACTGTTTAATGTATGCGCGTATGTATGTATGTATGTATATTAGTACGTGAGGGTGAATTACAAATGTTATTATCTAGTTAATTAATAGTTTTCTTAATTTTAATTTAATTTTTGTTAAACATACATATATATATATTCAATCAAGGGGTCCAATCTAATGTTTTACAATACTAAATCTCTTGACTATTTGAAAAAAACTCTACCGAAGCATGCCAAAAAAAAAATTTGATATGGGAAATTAACAAAAAAAATGCCCCAACAAATACTACTAGACACAAACAAATTACATAGCACACACAAACACATACAGATATAAGCAAATATTGTAATTTCATTTGTTAGCTGGTTCATGGCTACCACACCTACTTACCACCAACTGCGGCTATGGTGGCAATTTCGGACGCCGTAGTACCATATTCAATGCCATCGGCGATTATGTCAACAATATCGATACTGTTGGCGATGGGGCCCGACATGCTGCCGATATGCTGATATTGATAACGGAAGCGTTGTTGGTGGTGTTGCTGTTGTTGCAAATGTAATTGTTGCTGCTGTTGTTGTTCAAGTTTAAGTAGTTGCAAGTGCCGTTGTACATCATTGGCAGCGGCGGTGGTAGCAATGGTAGGGGTGTTGGTGGTGGTGGTGTTGGTCGTGGCACGTGGCAGCACTGTTTGTGGCAATAAGCCTAATTAAACGCGATTTGATTAAATACAAAAACAAAAAACACCACAAATTCTACATACATAACATACGTAAATATGTATGTATTTATACTTTTAACGCTTAACAAACCCACACATAGGCTATACAAAAACAAAAACAAACAAAAAGAAAAAAAACAAAAAATTACCTACGCACACCTAGCAAGCAGCATGCAACGCATAAAGGCATACAAAAGCAAAGAGGAGGGACTCTTGACAGCTAACACTAATCCAAAGGGGGAAAAAATAAAGAAAGCTGAGGCTTGCGTACCAAAAAATTTGTTTAGTCATGTTGTGTGCAGGAGTGGGTGAGGCGGAAAGGTCAGTAATTTGGGTGACAGAAAGCGAGGGAAGCAAATTATAAGCCAGTGGATGAGATGAGTTATCACTTTAATAATAAAAAAAAATGTAACAAAAAATTAAAATAAATCCAAAAATACCAAAAAAAAAATAAAATTCAAAAATATCAAAACGAAATCAAAAAAAGATTAGTTAACTAAATAAATAAAAAAATAAGGAAGACTAAGTTCGGGTGGAACTGTTGATTAAATCCTCGTTTACATTCGATCCTAAATCCACAGATCGGACAAAAATAAAATATCTCTTATATGGAAGGTAGATCTATTTCTGGACTTATGTAGCCATCTTTGGTAGGGCTTCACTTCTCATTAACAGCAGTGTATCTACCAAGTTTGGTTGTTGATCAATACCTGAAATATTCGAACTTGAGTCTAGCGGTGGCCCGTTCGCGCCTTTACTCAATCCGAGTTCATACGAGACCAAACGAAATCGAAAGTATAAAGTTTTATCGTATTCTTTTCTCTGTCTAGTGGTTTCTGAGATATACTCCTTGACCCACAAGTGAGTTGTGCCACGCCCATCGAAATTTCTTACCTCTCATATTTTTTCATTTAATGCGTTCGTCTCTTTACGTCTTGCATTATCGCAATTTTCGTACTTTACAAAATGATCGTTAGGCGAGAGGTGGTCGTGTTTTGGTCGATTTCACCCATTTGCGAACGCGTCCATACTTGTGATTGTTACGGGAGTTATCGTGTACGCAGACGGTTGGACGGGCGGAAAGACAAGACTCAGACTAAATGGATTCGTCTGGTTTCCATGAAGTTTGATACATATACAGGATGCGCCATTTAGACCTTCGGTATTTCAACATTGAGGAACAGTGATATTTTTCAACTCATTTTGACAATTGAGGAACAGTGTTAGTTTTCAGCTCATTTTGACAAATGAGGTAGAGGTATTTAGGTTACAATTGGCTATTTACTTCGAATCAGTTTTAGAACACAACGTCGATCAAATGACCACATTCATTCGATACACAAAAAACAGCTTTTTTCGTGCATTCGGCATTACATTGCATTTCAGGCATTATAGCAGGCTTACAGACATAAATTTTACTTTTTAAATAGCGCCAAAGGAAAAAGTCAGGTACAGTCAAATCTGAAGAATGCAGCGGCCACTCCAAGTCACACCGATAGCGTGCGCCATCGACGGTTTCTCCAACTTTGAAGAAAAAAAAATGGACCGATGATGGTTTTAGAGCACACTCAAGTCCAAACTAAGACTTTTTGACCGCGCAGTGGTGTTTCGTGAATGTCGTTTGGGTTTTCTGTTTACCAAATTCGACAGTTTTGTTTATTGACTCCGCCGGGAAGCGGGAAAGTAGCTTCGTCCGTCATCAAAATTTTATACCAAAAATCAGACGCAGCATTAATGCAAAGCGCTACGATTTCAGGGCGTTCTTTCAGCTTGTATTGGCTCATGGTTGAAATGGCACTGAATGACGCTTCAGAATCATGCACATTTATCAAAATCGGCTAAAACCGACAGAATTATTCAATGTTGAAGTGCCGGAGGTCTAGATGGCGCACCCTGTATATAAATAATGTCCATACTCATGTCGGTTATTTTATGGCCTTTGATACAACCGTTAGTCGAACAAACACAATATACATAATTGACGTTATATGCCTGCATAAACACAAGACTACGAAAGCTGAACTTTTAACATAAACCAAAAAGTTAGTTACTTCAATCCAATATCATTGATCGAATCAAAAAGTATAGAAATATTGAGCTCAACCCTCAGCAGGGAATGTTAACACTTCAGTGTGTGTTTCCAACAAGAAATACTAAAAGATTACTCATAAAAATTCATCAGCCTCCAATGCACTGTACGTCCCGTTCCGTTTGCCGGAAAAACATCCAGACGCACACATCAAATCGGAGGGATAAGAACTAAAGGGAAAGTAGTTCATAATGCTCTTCCGAGCATAGTTCTGATATGAGAAATATGGATTCCGATAAGAAGTCATCAGCCGTTCTGAGAAGGCTGCTCCAAATGCTTATAACTATGTATATATGTAATATATACATACATATACATATTATGGCAAATTTCACACCACATTTGTCTGTTAATTAATTTCAATTACACTAAACAACATTAAAAGAAAATAAATCGATATTGTTATTGTTGTTGTAGGGGTAAATAAAAACACGGTGGTTATAGAAAACGATTATTCGTTTCATTTTACACAAATTAAAAATGCCCTAATTCGCAAATAAGTATTGTAAATTGTACATATACACATGTACGTGTATATGTGTATGTGCATGAAATTTCATTATTTTTCTTCAATCCTACTTACTGCCAACAGCTGTTGTAGAGGTCATCTAAAGTCGTTTATTTTATATGAATTCCGCACTTTAAAGTACCATAAAGGTTTTAATAATAAATTCATAGATTTATATAACAACCAAAAAAAAAAAAAAAATAGCTATAAACACACACTTGACACAAATATTTGCAACACCGAAAACACCATGCGAGCAGCGATATGCTAAGCGAGGGTAGTACACGGCCAAACTAAACTAAATCAACTCGAATTTGCTCAAAAGACTCCAGTCGAGAATGGAGAATATCGAGAGAAAGCGACAAACAGCAGCAGAAGTATCAGTTAGGTAAGAATGTATAAAGTAAATCGGGGTAGGTGTGTAAGCGGGTGCATGTGTGGTTGGGTGGGTGGTCAGCTTTTGTGACAGTTGAAAAGGAAACGGAAATCAAAACACCGATAAAATTACTGGCAAAAGCGATGGCATGTGACGGCAGTTAAATAAAATTGCATACCACAACGAACGAATGTAAAAATATAAACAAAAACAAGAATACAATAATAAAGCGACTAAAAGAAAAACAAACTCAACTCAAATTGAACATAACAACAACGCAGTACGCGTCTAGAAGCAACGATGATGACAAACGAAAACAGATATGAATAAACAACAAAATATATGAAACAGAGCATAGCTAAAGAAGCGTAAGCGAAAGCATAAATGCAAATGTAAACATACCGTTCTCTGTGGTGGAATCCTCCTCCTCCTCCCCACCACTCGCATCCAGCTTCGCACCCATGCCCGGTTCAATGGCGCTATTGAGCGATGCTTTGCCTACCGCGCCCGTGCCGCCAGATGCTGCCGCATTCACGCTCGTCGGACTGGCGGTGACACTGTTGCTGCCGGTGGTTGTTGTTATGGGGCCATTGTAGATGCCATTGATTGGATGCGCCATATTTTTGGCAATTTGTAAGCTTACAATTGAGTGCTTGATATGATCCAACATGGCCTGCGTTGGATGTAAGCGAACATATGGCGAGTAGCAGTTGGTCGGGGAAAAAGCAAGTAAAAGAAATAAGTAATAGGCATTATTATGAAAGATAATCGAAGGGTATCGCAAAAAATATCAAACACAAAATATTAATAAAAAGTAGTGTAAATGTTAAAAATTTAACCTCTTTTATATTGTCTAGGCAAATTTTAGGGTCAAGCCCATGAGACGTAAAGTATTTTATGGAAAATTATGGCAACAACTTTTTAGTCAATTTTTACTTGAAAAGCTTTGCAGTTTTAAATTTGATTAAAATATTTGCCAACATCTGCTATAATTTATTTTCAAAAATTATTTGTTTTTACTTCTTAGCAATAAATTTATTTTATTAATAATACATTAATATTATATTGATAACTGTTAATTAACGATCTCTAGTCTATAACTAATTATTATATAAATATGCTAGATAAATGCTTGCTCCGAGAAGTAAATTACACAATTTTGGTTCTTTCGCTATAAAACATAAGCATAAATCAATTGCAGACTTACTAAACGGTATTCTCTGTAATTATTATCAGAGAGTGTTTCGTTGTTCGGGGAATGGTGTATAAAGGGGTGTAAATAAAAAATCTTTTCGATATATTCTTCCGATCGTTCAATTAATTTATTTATTTACCCATAAAAAATGTTTTCGGTTTCAAAATATATCGAAACTGCCCGCCTGACCTCATCATTGATGATAAATTGTTTACCTCTCAGCTCTTTTTATTCATTTTTATAAACAGTTAATAGTACTTAGTGGCCAGGTCTTTGCTGTAGGGTAGGTAATTCAAAATATCGAAGCCCACATAAAGAAGGAAGGCAGCGCAACGCGGCCCTTATGGCTGTTGTTATGGCGTGAGCATTGCCGGCACCTACCTTGCTCCGACCTTAGTCAACAATTTCTTTAAATTTTTGGGTAAATGATTGCGTGGTCACCAAGGATTTCGTTCCTTATTTGAATAAACTGTGCCTATTGTACATCATGTCTCTTACTCCTGCCCGGGTATCGCCGTAAATCAATGAAATTTCATTCATTATGGTCGCAACTGATTTTTATTGCTTGTTAAGGAATTTTATACCAGCACGATACACTTTTCACTTCTGATTGATTGACGAAAGCTCAAAAACTATTAGTACAACAATGCAACCTTGTTTTTAAACGAATTATGAGTCACACGATACTATCCTTATTACCCTAAAAGCCACCTTACAACACTCTCATTCCGCGAACATATAAACGCGCCTTCGTACGTCGAATTCTTTAAAATCTCTAGAAACCACTGACAGAGTAACTAATTAGTATCTCTATATGGTTGCCTTTTGTTTGCACGACAATTACGGAAACACGCAATGGACAAATTTAATAAAAGAAAACAAAGCAAGAACTCAAAAACAAAAAGTAAATCCAAACAAAAGACAAAAAGACAAAAGCGCAAGCAAAACCACCACTGGGAAAACCGCGGCGTAAAGTTCATAGTCCATTTAGCCGGGCGTGTGCGTGCAGTAATTCACATATGATGCATAACACAAACAAAACTCGAGCAACACTTATCCAAAAACATATACATGCGCATAGAAGCAAATCCAGTGCAAAAAACACTCCCGCTGTTACTCACACTGGCGTTATCCTGCAACGCTTTACACTTGGCTTTCTCCTCAGCATCTGCTATTTCCTCAATACGTTTTTCGATTTTCTAAAATGAAAGAAATTAAATGATAAATATTTAATAAAATTTGGTTGTTTTTATTAATTTCGCTACTCACATTTGTCTGGTCAATGATCAACTGTAAATATGCGTCCGCTTCCGAAACACGACGGCTGAGTAACTCCAAATGATTTGCACGTTTATTGCCTACCACATCCTTCTGGTAGCCACCAAGGTAGAAATTGCTTTGATTGTCCCACAGACGAGTGCGATTCGCATGTCTTAATATGGTGTCCTCTAGTCGTCTAACCCACTTTTCGCGTTCTTCACTGTGTTGCGCCTGTGGGGTGGGTGGGCGTAAGCATGTTAAACAAAAAGGGATACGAGAGAGAGAGAGAGAGAAAGAAAGAGAGCAAGAGAAAAAGTGCGTTTGGTTATTGCAGATGAAAGCTGGTTAATATTTATGGTAGTGCAAACCTTATAAAAATGTTATGATTTTATTTATGAAAATAATTTAAGAAATCGAATTATTATTGCTTTTGTCCCAAATTATCGTATATTATATATACATATATATTGGATGAGTGCATAAGTTCGTGCCCGATTTCAAGTGCAAACTNCATGTGTCTTTTTACTAAGCAACTCAAGTCAAAAAGGAAGTTATTTTATGCTTGATTTACAGTTCGGACTGTCACCTTTCCAACGATATATAATATGTATATATTTCTTTCACGAGCGCCACTGTCAAATGATTCGAACGGCATCCAGCGGAATCGGGCACGAACTTATGCATTCATCCAATAAATTACAATAAAATTTTAAAGTTTAATAAAATCTTAATGAGGAAATAATTAGGAAATAATGTCAATAGCCAAGAGCCCTTGGCATTTTATTACTCACCTGAAAGTGAAATGTCTTGTGATCCACAGTTATTGTGAAGGTGTTGTCCTCTTGATCATCTATACCAATAACGGCATCTTTAAGGCGTACGCAGCCGCGTCGCACACCTTTCATCATTTTCTCTTTCGACTGTAAATGGAAAAGAATTGAAGAATTAAATGAGAACATTTCAATACTTCATACTTGCACATACAAACGTGCATGCATATATATAGACGTTTATGCACACACACACATCTCTTAATTAGGTAATGAACATCAAGTGTTTGATTGCATTTAAAATCAATAAAGCAATTAAATCATGTCCCATGTAGGTAAGACGGCCCTTTGAAATGCTGCACAAATGCGAATATGCACAGACAGACATTTATATTTATGCATAGAAGGAAGTACCAAAAACTTTGTAGTAAGAAACAAAGCCGCATAAGGGACCCCCACAAACAAACATGAAAATGTGGGATGTGTACAAAAAAAAAAAAAATAAATTAAAAAAAATAAAAAAAAAAATAAATTAAAAAAAATAAAAAAAAAATAAAAAAAATTATATTATATAAATAAATAAAAGAATTTTTAAGAGAAAAAAAAGAGTAATATTATTAAAGGTAAATAACACATTTTGTGTGATGGGTAAAAAAATAATAAGCATACTTTTAATATTTCTCACGGTTTCAGTTTTTGTGGAAAATAATTTAAAATTTGTTAAAAAAAAATAATTATTAATTATTAAAATAATACATTTCCTAGAGAAAAAGGAAAGCTAAATGAACAAATTGAATTGCCTTTCAACTTCAAAAATTGATCATTTTTTGTGTAAAAGTACAAAGTGTCAGGAATATTTTTCCCAAGTTTCAAGTCGATCAAGACGAAACTGTAGAAATTAGAGAATTTTATAATCCGCCGTCTTTGTCATGGCTTGACCGTTGATGTTGATAAAACTTTAAATGCGTTTTTCTTAAAACCACTTTATCGAAATCGGTAGTCAAAATTTTTCAACGATTATTGAAGCGATCGAGTTCAAATTTCCCACGCCTCTTTTAAGCATGATTTTGTAGTCCCTGATTTATTTTATCTTTGATTTCAACTCATTTTACAAGCCAATATGTGGGCTAATTTTATGGAAAAAAGACGATTTTTGGAAAAAACGCTACAAAAAAAGTCAGTTTTCAATTTTTTTAATTTTTCTTCGTTCAGGGACAAGGAATATTCAACTACTTTAAGAAATAAATTAGTATATTAAATTTTAGATAGATGTGGACAATCTACATCAAGACACTGCCAACGCTTTAAGTTATACAATTTTTCATTAAAATTTTCATCAAATATTGTCCACATATTGTACTTTTATATGTAAACAAAATAAATTACATACTTTTTTTTAGTATCTTTTAGAAAAAATTAGAGAAAATACGCTTTTTTTTGGCATTCAAGACCTATGTAGCCCCTTAAAGCAATAAATAGTCTCCTTTAAAAGCCAAAAAAAAGCGATTTTTCAGCAAGTTTATTTTTTGAAAAAGGAAGGAAATAAATAAATGAAATTTCCAGTTAAAAATGTACTATATTTAGACTTCAAAAAATACCTTTTAATATTAAAAAATATTGGAATTTTCCAATGTTGTTTTGAATTTTCTGAAGCGGCTGCAGTCTGAACTCGTGAAGGTGATGGAGGTCGTACGATGCAACTGAGTCAAACCAAGTTTTTTTTTTAATTTTATGAGTGCCTCTTCTATATGAGCTAAACAAATACCAACCAAAGTTAAAAAATTCAAGATTTTTTGTGAAAAAAATCACTTTCTTGCAAAAAAAATTACCTTAAATACAAAAAAAATTAGCTTAAACAATACTTTTGTCCAAATTTTTTTAGTTCTAATAGAAGATAACTTAATACTGAAGCTAGATCACTCTGAATTTTTCGATCGGACATAAATATACTTTCTGCTATCACCGCATTGTTTTCCAAGACTTGTAAAAATGAAAAATCGATGAACGCGCTTCCAAGTTCTGCCCGAGCATTCGAACCTGCTCGACGCTCCGCCACTAAAACTGCTTCTAAAATATGTCGAACTGGCCACGAAAATTTTGAAGATATTTTCTTGGATAGTTTTAGAATAGATTTAATAAGAAAGAGAATTTCTAGAGGCCTCTAAGCAGATTGAATGAAGACTTTTTCTAACTGGATTGAAATTCACGACTTTTTTGTAGCGACCCCCCTTTTTTATACTAGGGACAAAATGTTAAAGAAAATGCACGACAAAAAATAAGGGAAACGGAAAATTATGGGTGGCAAAATTCATCGAGTTCTGGCCATTATCTAGTGATTTCTGAGTCATAATTTTTGATCCAAAGCGTGGTGATGATTATTCTGGTTTAAAAACAACTAGTTTGAGACTGGTATATATCTGTGCGCGCAACTTACATTTTCTATCTCGCGGAGCATCTCTATATTATTTCTAATCGATTGTATGAACAAAAAAGACATTTGACACACTAGTTTCAAAGTAGTTTTTAATTGGTTGATTTAACTAGAAGAGTGCATATGACAAAGGTTCATACATTAAGCCACTCCGCAGTCTTTTCTTTGCCAGCTCCAGCAATTGAATTTTAAGCTAAATAATTTTCCAATTTCGCGTTGCCGAAATAATTGGCGTTAATATGGAGCGCACTTGTTGTTGCCTGATTAAGTACATATAGTACTTATGTATATGTATATATGTATGTGCATTCGTATCATAAATATACCTACGTCGTCTACTCAAAATGCGCTAATTAGAAATGCAATAACAAAAAAAAAAACCAAAAAAAAAAAAAAAAAAAAAAAAAAAAAAAAAAAAAAAAAAAAAAAAAAAAAAAAAAAAAAAAAAAAAAAAAAGAGCTTGAAAGTTCAATACTGTATGGAAATACGCACATACATATGTATGTTGATATGTTTGTCAGTGAGTATGTAGGAAATCGCTTTAAAACGTGCTTTTTACATCGAATATATCTGGAATGTTCCCTGCAGGCAATACTGTCAGTTACTGTTGTTAGTGATTTAACGAAAAAATTTGGAAACTTTTTTCTACAATTTTTTTTGGACATTTTTTTCTACAAATTTTTTAGGCGCTACTAAAGCGCCTGGGGATTGTATACACAAATTACCACCGGTTGTTAGCTTTTATTTTTATTTTTTAATTTTGAAAAGTGTCTGTAACAGTCAAAACTATCTGCAAACTCAGAAATATGAATTCTTTCCGCACCCGCCGTATTCTCTAGACCTTGCTTCTGCCGACTAATGACTTTTTGGACGGGCACAAAAGAGTTTATGGGTCACCAATTGAGGTCTTTTGAAGAAATCTATGTATGTTTCAATGATTCGAACGCGGACAGAGAGTACTCATTGAGATGGTATTAGAAAAAGACCAGCGAAATGGGAAAAAAGTAGTCGCTTCCGTCGGACAATAAAACAAAAAAGAAAAGAAGCTTTTTTGAACACAAAACCAGCATTGAATTAATTTGTAAAAAAAAGTTCTTACGTAGAATTTTCTTCTTAAATGTATTGCTGTTTCTGGTGGCCGCGTATTGTAGGGTAAGTTTTTGGACAAACATATGTATGTATTGTATATAAATATACAGACAAGCAAACCAATAAATAGTTTAGCTAAAGGAGCTGTCTGATATTCCGTGAATATAATTAATTTTATTCAGTATTCCGATTTACAAAATGTGCGCACACCGCCAGCTTTGCACCGTCCCTAGGCAAATTCTTGCTTCAGCTTTTCGAAGCGCTCCCCATTCTCGTTTCGATTTCACCGCTTAGTGGCGGTGACACTTCAGCGCGTATTGTGCCTTTCGTGCGTTTTATAGGTTTTTTGGTAGAAGTTAAGCAAAGTTTTTGTAGTCAGTAAAATTGGCAAGGATTTGGCTCAGGACGCTTGCAAGTGCCACTAATTGCTGCATATATTTTTTTAACAGTATTTTTGCATTTGAACTTTGGTGTTGTGTTTGCAGAAGACAAAAAAAAATATCAAAAAAGAAAAATGGATTACAGCCGTACTTGTTAGTATCAAATGAAAAATCAATTAAAATTTATTTTAATTTTCAATGGGATGGAAATTATCCTTGGATAATTAAAAGAATATAAGTGTTCAAATTTTTTGAGTAATTCTACCTTTCAAGCAACTTTTTATACAAATTTTGAGTTTTTTTTATATTTTATAACAGCGCATGAACTCAAGGAGTGGTTTGGATTGCAATCACCTCACTTTATATTCGCTGTGATAATTGCATATCTCATACTAATCTATAAAATAGTACCGAGGTAAGTAAGTGTTATTTATATAATAATATTTATATAAAAATAGTTGACAAATATTAAATAGATACTGGTTTTTTGGCCACTATTTACAGGCCTATTCTGTAGAGGTAACAAAATTTACCTAGATACTCAAATTTACCATTCATTAAATTTTGTTACCATTTCGTATTCTGCGCTCACTGTTACCCTGTAAATTTTGTTACCACCGAAATAGGAGGTAATAAAAATATCTGCTGTTTGATTTTGTGTTGTAAGTTTGAGAAAAAATTAACAATCAAAATGGCTAGGCATATTTTAGGCCTGGAAATCATTGAAGATGAAGAAAAAAGTGCAAAAAGCCGTATTTTAAAAAGTTTTCGAGACTAAAAAATAGCCCTTTCAATTGTAAGATAACGTTGTCATTCAGCTTTTTTTATTGTCCAGGCCTATTTTCCAATTAATTAGGTTCAAATATTTATGATTTAATAAACAAATTAATAAAGCTTTTTAATTTTTTTGTGCTCCGACTTCCATTTCGATGTGAATATTTTTCTTTTTTACTTTATCAACTGGCAAATGTAATTTGACATTGGACGAAAAAAGCAGTGCTGCCAAATTTTTTTTCGAACATTGTAACCGTTCGCCAGAATACCAAATTCAATTTTGAGTGTTAAAGAAAAGTAACAAAATTTACTTTACCGTTAACAGTGAGAATAGGGCTGTTAGGCTCGAATTTTTTTTATCGCTGGCTCGAAGTCCATACTGATAAAACTTTAAAGTATAATTTCAAAATCGAGTTTTTTTCATTTCAGATTTGCTAGTTTTTGTTAAAAAATTAGTATTTTTTATTACTTTTTTTTTTTTTTTTTTTTTTTTTTTTTTTTTTTTTTTGTAATTTGAGAAAAAGATTTTTGTTTGTCCTGGGCTGAAATTAATGATCGACTAAAGCATTCGCTTTATATGAAATTAGAGTTTAATATTTTATCTAAATTGATTTCGAATCAGCATAAAAATGTTTAGTTTGAAAAGTTCCTTTTATCCCTATAGAACGATAATATAGAATATACATATAAACCTAAGTAGAATGGATATGTAAGTGTAAAATACATTTTTTAGATTTTTTTTCTTTTTTTTCTGTTTTTTTGTAGTTTTTTTCCCATATAAGTATGCTTTACGGTACATTTTTTATTCTATATTGAGCATTGAACCCGACAACAGGTAGTGAATTTCATAGAAAATAGTTATAATACAAAAATGTACTACAACAAAAATAATAGATATATATTTTAGCTTACAATGCCAGTTGGGACTGAATTTTCAGTTGAAGAGCGTGTAAAAAATAAAATAATGTATGAAGCTGGAAATAAAAATTGCGTAATTGCTGCAGCAACAAATCGTCATTCGAATACTATACGGAACTTTCTAAAAAGTCCGCAAAGTTACAACATAAATAACAGTGGCGTAGCAAAAAACTACCATAGTTGAGCGCCCCAAAAGGCATATAAGGCAGCTGGCCATACATTATATGATAAGTTGCTCTAAGATCAAAGCAGAATTAGATCTCCAGGTAACACGACAACGCATACAGCAAGCTTTTATGAGTGTATGTATGAGTATTTGGAACGACTAATTCGAAACAGTTATCTTTAGATGATGATGCAGACGAGCCTTATCACAAGTGTGGGGAGATATATGACATCCTCGGCAAACTTTCTACACTCGAAACCACGTTGGTAGATGACTTATGTTATGGACTGCCTTCCATGCTAGAGTAAAGTCTCCAATTTGTTTTATTCCAAGCCGTATGAGCGCATATACTCACAATTGTTAGATAGAGAGCTCATTGCATTCGAAGAAGAGTTTCATGACCGCAATTGGATATTCCAACAAGGCAACGCACCAATACATGTTGCGAAGCCTAAAGTGGAATTTTTTTAATCGGAAAACATTCAATGCCTGTAAGTCTTGATCAGAATCCGATACAAGATTTGTGAGGAATACTTCCTGGAAAACTTTTTCGATGCTACGAAGCAGTACGAGGCATTAATCCAGCTTAAGAATGCAATTGTAGATGAATGGAGAAAGACCTGAGACCTGTTCGTACTAAAAAAAATTAACTTATTCAATGCCACACCGACTCAAACTAGTGGCAGACAAAGGCGGTGGCTCCATTTTTCATTAAAACAATAAAAAAAATTTATTCAATAACATATATATGTATATTTCTTAAATTTTCCATTTAGCTTATTGCACATAAATATATCTATTTTCTATGAAGGCAATATAATTTTATTTATTTTTTTGTTATATAAAATATCAATGTGAAATATTTTTAAGTTTTACTTATATTAAAATTAAAAAAAAAAAAAAATGTAACACAATTAAAATAAGCAGATATTTACAAAGAATTACAACAAAAGGCAATGCACTTACATATATCCATTTCACTGGGGTTTAAGCATGTTAGCATTTCCGTAAGCCATTAGATAATATTCTTACTTCATTTAAATGTAATTAAAGTGGCGGCGCTGTCATCAGACGCAATATCAACAAAAATTCATTAGCATTTGATTGGAAATTTTATGCGAATAATTAAAATTCGTTTTTCACGTTTTGAACTCGTAAAGTATTTTGTCGCACTTTCCAATGAATAATTAATTAACAAATTTATATGTACATACGCATATGAAATTAAATTAAAAAAAAAAAAAAAAAAAACGAAAAAACTCAAAGATCATTTTAGAACGATTGAAAAATAGGTTGTGCTGCAGAATATATGACTTAAGTAAAAAAAAAATTAAAAAAATAAAAAAAAAATTTAAAAAAAAAAATTAAAAAAAAAAAATTAAAAAAAAAGTTAGAAAAAAAAATAAAAAATTAATAATAAAAAAATAAAAATAAAATTAGATAAATACGTTTATTGAAGTACAGATAAATGTATGCATGTAAATATTTCATTTTTTTAACTTGCAGCTACATGAAAAATCGCGCAGCCTATCAGTTAAAAACATACATTGTTCTCTACAATACGGCACAAGTACTCTCCTGCCTTTACATTATCAATGAGGTAACCACAAAAAAAAAAAAAAAAAAAAAAAAAAAAAAAAAAAAAAAAAAAAAAGTCATATCATTTAAAAGTATGATAAAAAAACACAACGGAACATTGCTTTGAGATTGCTAATAAATTAATTAGATCTTTTATTTTCTTCACACGCAGATTTTCCACATAACGTCGACAAAAATATTTTATTTTTGGGAATGCTCTATGTTCGATTCGAATACACATGCTGAGTATCTCTTCAATCGCGTTACATACTTCACATTCTGGCTTAAGATTAGCGAACTATCGGAGACGGTTGTATTCGTGCTGCGTAAGAAACAGAATCAGGTGTCTCCATTGCATGTGTTTCATCATTGTTCGACCATTACATTGGTATATGTGTTGCTTGTGAATTACAGAGGTAATTGAAAATGTTTTTCTTCTTCTTCAGTTTTTTGTTCGCTTTGTAGTGTTAAATGGGTTAGTAATGAATTTTTTTTTTTTTTTTTATCAATTTTTATTTGCCTTTCACAGGTGGCTCGGCTCTATATCCGTTGTTGCTCAACAGCTCTGTGCATGTGATTATGTATACATATTACTTGGGTGCAGCTGTGTGCGATGAGCAAATTCTAAAGCGTTTAACGCCAGTAAAGAAATCAATTACCACTATTCAAATGATACAATTCGTTCTGATCCTTGTGCAAGCCTTCGTTATGACAAAGCGCTGCACTGTAGCGCCAATGGTGATGGCGTACTATGCTTTCGTTATACTTGTAATATTCTATGGCTTTTACGACTTTTACAAGAAGGCATATAGAGTTGGCAGTAAGAAAGCTAAAGTTTTATAGTATTGATTTGCACAGACCATTATCGGCGGATTATTTGTATTTAATGGAAAACTTTAAGATAACATGAAAAATTGTAAAAGCTATACATACATATATAGCACAAATATAATTTGCACAAATTTAATATTAAAAATAAAATTATTGTTTATTACTTTAGTCTGTACTCCACACTTTTTTATAACAATAATAAAAAATACCTAAAAACACAGTTTCAATACCACAAACAAATGTTTGCGCCTAATATCAACTAAACATGTGTATTTCTATTTTTAGTTCAATTTGTTTGCTATAACAATAAAGTAAATAATATAAAAATAATCTTCATTCACATTGGATAGCATAATTGGTAAATATTAAAACATGATCTAAGCACCCGTTGATATGTCTAAAAGTGAGCGACTACAAAAACAACAACAGCGATCTATACAAAAACCTGCGACTCTTCAGCTGGAGCGCAGTACTTTTAAATAATTTGAACATACAGATATATGTATTTGTAGGTAGTTATGTACAAGATAAGATAATAAAAACGTAAACGAACGATAAAATACATGGGCATAGGTACATGCTTAATGCATTATATCGACCTCGCCAAAAATTAAGTTTTGAGTCACAATAGAAAAAAACTAAGAAATTTTGATACTTGAAAATTGAACTAAAAGTTATTTCAATTTTATTACAATTAAATTTTAAAATTACACTAATGTATAACTAACATACATATGTATGTACATATATATACATTCCAACATATATGTATGTACGTTCATGTTTATTGGTGTGGTCTCAGTTTTATTGTTTAAATGTAAACAAGTAAACATTTGCTGAATAGCGGTAGAGTCGGTAACGAATTTAATTCTTTGGAAAACTCCCCAGCTAAATGAGCTTTGTTATCAGTAGCAGATTTATCGCAAAGCAACTTTACCAACTTCAGTGCACACAAAATGCTTACATACCCAAACATGCATATATATGTTCATTTGATAAAGCATAATGAGCCAACTAAGTTATTCATAATGCGTAATTAACTGGTGCCGCACCCTTAATTTTGAAATGAGCATTTCTTAGCATTTTACGGTCGTGTCCATAACCACCAGTTTGAAATTTGGCAAACATTCAAGGTCACCACTCACCGTATAGTAAGACAATAGGCCAGCATTTTCATCCAGCACGAAGAAGCGATACTGCCAGCCTTTCATCACATTTGTCCATTTACTAAGTGTTCCTTCCAGTGTGTTGGACATGATTTAGCACTTTTCTGTAGTTATTTAGCACCAGTCGTAAAGCGTATAATATGCACGTATTTACCGCACTAATACCGGCAATGACGCAACTTCACTGCTGTTTCTTTTTAACGTAAAATAATAATTTTAACTAAAAAAAAAAAACTTTTCAAGAAGTAATGAGCGCTAATTTTGTGGACACACTCGAAATTCACTTATGATTGACAATGTTATTTGTGACGTGGTATTTGCCTGTTTCTCCTTCTTTTGAAATTGCTCCGGTCTTTGCTGCATTGCCCCTTGCGTAAAGTAAATAAATTCACTTCTTGTTTCTGGCAGGTTTTACTAGCTGCACGGATACGCTTCGTTGCAGTTACCGTCGTACTCGACCTTGACTTAGTAATTTTTAAGGTGTAACATTTATTTGCACTTTCCTAAGTTTGTAGGGCTGTGACGATATTGGTAAATGTTGCGGTTATTGTTTTAATTATAACTTATATTTTAAAAAATAATCTCAAATTCGAAAAAACAAGAAGATATTCACCGTCACTTTGACAAAAATACTGCACAGAAAACATATGATCTGAAAAATGTTATTCTTTTTAGCAAAATATTGGCAGCGACCGGAACGTATGGGAAACGAAACGATTGTGAAGGGCATCAAATAAAAAAAATATTTATATTCAAACTATTGCCTTCTTAATAACATTAAACATTACTCAGGGAAATAATAAACAGCAGAACAAGTAATTTGTGAGTAGTAAATGGCGAGGAATATACAAATATTGATATAAAATTAAAGCTGATATTGATTTATGTGTGATTTATGTGTGACACAGAGTGAAACCAATGAAATAATATAAGTACAACTTGTACAGAGTGTTTCGCCATTATCAAATTTTGTTCTTAACAGCACTTAGCTTCGATTGGATGATTGTTTTACTGACATTTGAAAACCAATCATACCGTTATTTGATTTATTGGTTTCTAATTAGCAAATCTGGGATTGTTTTACCAAATGTGTATAATTGATTAATCATGATATTGAATTGATTTCACGAACTTCAATCCTTTAGATTGGCTGATTTCTTTGTAACAATAATCATTTTGGTGCTGTGCGGGGTCGTATTGCCTATAGGAAATATGTATGTACATACATACATATATACGTTAAGGATGTTGGGTGTAAGTCAGTGCAAGTATTAGTTGGTTATCGCGAGGTAGTTCGAGCTCTTCGTGTGCTTGATGGTTTTCTATTGCGCCATTTAAACGAAAAAAGTTAAGCATACCTTCTGCTGTGCCTTAAAGGTGTTCCTGCTTCAAGTGGATGCCTGCAAGGATAATTTCTACGTAGCAGATATTGCTTATAAAACATAAAATTATGATCTTCATCAGAATGTTTCTTGAGCCGGTACTCCTTCCTTCAGCTGGAAAAGAGAGCAGCCTAGGATTTCACTTGTTATAGTTGTTGTTGTCGCGAAGTGGGAAAGGTCGGAAGGATAGCAGTTTACCTTCGAACAAAGGTTATTAATATTTGAGTCAGATGTCAGTACCAAGAAGTCAATGACATAAGAGATCAAGAAGAAAACCTCCGCGGAGAATACAAAACCCCCTGCAGAGCTCCGTGTTTAATATTCTTGAGTTTTGTGTTGTTTCGAAATTCCATTGTTTGTCGGCTACTCAAGTTACTTATGGATTACGTCCTCAATACCGGTAATAATGACGATTATGCATGATTATGCAGAAACCAAGCGGCGCACTGGTGCTTGGCAGTTTGTGCAGAAGGCATTGCTTCGTTCAACTGACGGGTGCAATGTGAAAAGTCGGTTAGAAGAGCTTGTGCTTGAGCTTTTTAGGTTACGACTACGCGCGGTCACTGAATAAAATTTTCAACCATTTATCCCGTCCCGACGGGCTGGACAGTGGTTGGGTCTTCGCCAAATTGAATTCTCTGATTTTGGTGATTTCCGAAATCGACTTCGTCTACGGTCCAAATCTTTTTTTGAATTTTGAATTACAAGTATCTAAGTACATACACGTACACACATATTCTTGTATAAAATTTATTTAAAATATTATCAAATACGTACATAGACATGTCTGCGTTTCACAAGTTACATAATCATTTGGTATAAAAAATTAAACTATTATTTGCCTAAAATAGAAAAATAAATGTATTTCGTAAGAGGAAGAAGGTCAACTAAAATGTCTCCAGCGGTTGAGCCAGAGTCGTATTGCTAGTAAAATAGTTAGAAAATATGCAACGGTACAATCCATAGACAATTAAGGCAATCCACAAGCCTTTGACCAGCTTATCCACACACCACATGCTGTAAAACCAAATAAAATATATATATATATAAATAAAAATACTCGGCCCTGCAAGTCAACTAAATACTCACATCTTCATGTGCCTTCTGGCGGCGGGTATGGTCTCATCGCTCTCCTTCAGTATCAGACGCCGCGCACAGAGCACGCACTGCGTGAAATAATCGACCAGGTCCACATCGATCTTCTCAATAATATAAGTGAGCCGCTCTTTCTTGTTCATCTGAGCACGCATTTTCACCGCCTCTGTGTTGTCGAAATTCCAAACATTATTTGCGTAATATTCGAAAACTTGAAAACCGTTATTGATACGTTTCTGCACACGCCACAGTCTATAAATGAAAATACAGACAAGTTTAGACGTTGAAATATATGCAGACATATGTGTGTGTGCGTGTGTGTGCCTACTTACACAGGTGGATATCGTAAGAGTATTAGCAATGCGTCCACAAACAATGCAGGCAACCAATGGAAGAGCACCATACAAATAGCGTGTACATAATAGTTCGACTTCATGGAACCACCCGGGTACCAGGCAACACCATTCAATGGCAATTTATTCTCTATAACCCAACGTCCGCATTCGATGATCTCATTCCAGGAAACTTTTATTTCACTCGAACTGGTCATATGCGCCACTTGATTAACTTGGCTGCGATCGGTTGCCGTTAGAAAGCGCCAACTAGCCACGAGCATGCCGTTCACTGCGATATCCACCGGTAGAAAGTCGCCATAGCCAGAGGAGTTGCAATACATTGTGCGTATGACACCTTTGCCGGCGCCAATCAATAAACCCGTTGGTCCATTTATATTGTCCGTCCAACCGGGCAAGGGTTCCTTCCATATGGGTATGACAATGGAGGGACGGAGTATAACTGCGGGCAACTCGTTGAATTTCTCCACAACTAATGCCTCAGCTAGCGATTTTGTATAGGCGTAAGTATTGGGTATGTCACCTAAGATTTTCTTCTCTATGGTAGCAACCTCATCGTCGTTTAGCCATTCACAGGCCTGCATAACTTGATGTGGATTCGCTGGTGGATCGTAGGGTTTCTCGTATAGAGTTTTGATGTGTAGATGACAGTAGGCCGTGGAGACGTAAGCGAAGAGATCCAAGTGTTTGAGTGTCGCGGCCAGTTGTAGCATATAGTGGGTACCACGCGTGTTCATAAAGACTGCTTTGCGCAGCGGTTCATCAAAGCTGTGGGGTGGGAAAAAACAGGAAAGTGAATTAGATAATTTTATGCGGTTGCTTAGATATCCGTTAGTTCAACTAAGAACCAACAATTAAATGTTTTATAAACACTAAGACACTCTACACAATTCTTATCGCCCAAAGAGAGATGCTCACTCTCTTGTTAAACCGAAAGCTTAGCGAAAAGAGCCAATGTGGGTACTTAAAATGTCTATTGGTAATATTTGAAGCTCACCGTATAGTCGCAGCACAATGATAAACAATGGAAACTTCCTCGCGCAACTTCAATAGATTTTCTTCAGAAATACCCAAACCCGGCAGCAACACATCACCCTCAATAGCCTCCACTTGGCTAAGAATTTGGCTCTCACCGCGCTGTTGCTTAACCATGTCGAATAGCTGGAAGGAAGAGAAGATTAGTAAGGCCGAATATGAAAAGGTAAAACAAATTTTCTCTTTTAATTTATAAATAAGCAAATTAATTACACTCATTACGACAGGTAGTTAATATGCTCGTATAACGCGGGAGTAAAGCGAGAGAGATTACTCACCACATTAGTGAAAATGTCCTTAATGCGTTCTTGGGGATTTTTGCCTTTCTTTGGTCGTATTAACAGATAGATTTTCTTCAACTGACCGCATGATCTGCAAAAGATGCGTAAGTTTCCACGTTAATATGTATGTATGTTGGATGTAAGCAAGGCAAAGTTGTTTTTTGTAGTTTTAGTTAATAGCTGTCACGTCCCACAACCGCATCACGTTCCAAAGCTTCACGGTCTGGCGCATATTTATTATTTTTATTCATTGTTTTTTTATTATTTCATTTAATTTATTTTTCGCTTTTTTTATTAATTTCATATAATTTGTTTTTCATTGCATTTATTTTATTTCATTTAATAATAAATTGTTGTGCTTTACTTTATTATATATTTTATTTTACTAAAATTATTTAATTTGATTTTGTTTAAATTTATTTCATTTAATTTTTTATTTTATTTCACTTCGATTTTTTAACTTATTCTGTTTTGATTTAGATATATTTTTTTTATACAATTAAATTTAATTTATTTTAATTTAATTTAGTTTTTTCATATTTCACTCCCTTTAATTTATTCTTACTTAATTAAATTAAATTAAATTTTAATGAATTTTATATTATCAAAGTTGTTTTGTGTTTTTTTATTTTTATTTGATTTCTTTTAAATTCATTTAATTTCATTTTATTTCGTCTTAATTTTAAGTTGTTTATGTTTTAATTAAAATAAATTTCATCTCATTTTATTCCACATTGCTTTATATTACATTTGAATAAATATTTATTAAATTTTAATTTTTTTTAATTTTAATACTTTTTATAGTTTATTTTGTTTGCATTCCTTTATTTTATTTTATTTTATTTTATTTTATTTTATTTTATTTTATTTTATTTATTTTATTTTATTTTATTTTATTTTATTTTATTTTATTTTATTTTATTTTGTTATATTTTATTTTATTTTATTTCATTTTGTTTTTTTATTTATTTTATTTTATTATATTTTATTTTATTTTATTTTGTTCAATTTAATTTAATTTCATTCAATTTAATTTTGTCTTATTCTACTACTTAAATTATTTAATTGTTGTATTTTATTTAAGGTTATTTCTTTTAATTTATTTTAATTTAACTCAGTTAATAATTTAATTTAAATTGTTATATATTGTATTATATTTATTGTTTTATTTTATTTTACTTTTTTCATTTTTTTTTTGTCTTTTATATTTTTATCTGAATTTTTGTTATAGCATTCTTAATTTTATTTTAATTTATATTTTTAGATTATTTGATTTCCATTAATCTAATTTTGTTTTATTTAATCTTTTTAATTTTTTTATTATTTGTTATTTAATTTCATTTTATTATTTTTCGTCTTATTTTATTTCGCTTAATTTTGTATATTTTTTTTAATTATGCATATGCATAGTCTTTTTAAGTTTATTTTTTATTTAAATGATTTTTTATGCTTTTGAATTTGTTTCAATTTTTTTACATTATTTTTGTTTTTTGTAATATTATATTTTTTCATTAATTCATCGTATCTTTATAATATTTTTCTCTTTTATATATAATTTGAATTATTTAATTTTGTTTTGTTTTTATTATTATTATGCTTACTTTTATTTCTCTAAGGCTTTTAATTTATTTTTAACTTAATTCAATGCTAGTTATTATTTTTCAATTATATTTTTTATTTAATTTAAGTTTGTTATATTAATTTGTTAGATTTTTTATTATATTTAGTTTGATTTAATGAATTTATTGTAATTTATTTTTGTATTTATTATAATTTTTTTTATTTTTTTTCATTATTATTATTATTTTTATTTTATTTAAATTTTAATATTTTTTTGCTTTAATTTATTTCGTAATTTTTTTTTTGATTAATTTAATTTAATAAGCTTTTTCAGTTTATTTTACTTTTAAAAAAAAATTGAATTCAATTTAATGTTATTAATTTTTTTTCATTTTGTTTAGCTATTTTATCTTTTTATTTATTGAAATCAAGTTTTTTTTTGATTATTTTGTTTGTTTAATTTTTTATAAAACTTAATTTTATTTTATTAATTTTTAATTATTTTCTTTTATCATTTTTAGTTTTATTAATAATTTTTTGAATTTTTGGTTTATTTTAAATTGATTTGATTAATTCTTTGATTAAATATTTAATAATTTTTTTCTTTGCTTATTGGTATTTTAGATTTTATTTTCTTAATTATTTATTTAACTTCTTTATGCATTACCTGAGTAATTTTTCCAGCAACACTTTACCAAGGAAGCCAGTTCCGCCCGTTATGAAGAGCGTACGCCCGGCGAAGCTCGTGGCAATACGATCCTCGGCGCTGTCATCGACATCCTCAATGGTCACTTGCGGTTCACTCTCGAAGCTAAATTTCGGTTTGCTAGCCATGCTGGTAGGTTGTGTGGGTGTGTAATTTAAACTGCGATAAATTAAAAAAAAAAATTATAAAAACTTTGAAACTCCATTTTTTCGGATATAAAATACAACTAAAAATCAAAAAGAAATAAAATAAAATATGAAAACCAGTTTACTTTATTTCTGGTTTATTGATTTTTCAATATTTTTTTTTTTTGATATTTCCAACACAATTAGTAGCACATAACGGTATTTCCACTTGAATTCACTTACAAGCTCACTATCATGGAACTAGGTTAGTAAGTATGTCTGTGCGTATGTAATAATAACAAATATTTGCCACAAGGTAACAATGAAAAATAAATAAGACAAATAAATAAGCAATCATATTGAAAATAAAAACAAAAAAAGGCATAATAAAAATTGTAAAACCCGCACAAGAACACCGTTATGCAACATTTAGCCGTCAAAAGTGCAAGTAAATGCCGTCAAACTTGACGAAAATCAAATTATGAGCTTGTGCACAAGCCAAGGCGTGCAATCACGCAAAAACAAATAAACAAATAAAGTAATAAACAACAAAAAGTTACAATTATTCTTCGGTTTTGAAAAATGCCGATCATGTCGCGCAGCAGCCGACGGCGCCGCTTGAGCTGCTTTGTGCCAAATTATCACCAGCAGTCTTTATTCTCAATGCCATTCAAGGCTCAGGTGTTGCAAGACTCCTGCTTGTGTCTACATACGAGTATATATACATGTATACACGTATGCACATATATACACACGGCTATTTGTTCAGGCTTCTGCTGCGTCGATTGTCGATTGCAAAATCATCAATGACGTTAGCAAAAATTGCACATTAAAATAAAAGAGAGAAAACAAAATCATATTTGTATGTAAATATATACAAATGTATGTTAGTAAGCTCATTTACAGTCTCTGCTAAAGTACCAAACACTTAACAGTAGAAGTGTTTTTCTTGCTGCTCACTTTACTTTTATTTCATATGACTATGTATATTTGTACGTATGTACATACATACATATGTATATATTTTTATACATTTTTTTTTTATATATATTTTTATTTAAGTTTCAGTTTGTTTATGTCTCTTTTATGGCCACTTTGCTGTTGCTGGTCATGCTTTGCTTGGCTTGGTTTAGCCGGCCGCCAGTTGGTCGACTGGTCCGTTGGCCAGCTCCATGGCTTGTGAGCCCGTTGGCCTAGACACAGTCGATTGGCGCGCTGTTTGTCTGGTAATGTGCACATAAATCTATGTACATATGTGCTCTGCCAGCAGATCCGTTGCCGAATTGTAATTGATCTTTAGCCGTCAAACTGGTCATATTTACTTGAACCACGAGTATATGGCACAACAAAGCAAGCACACTTGAAAAGTGTAAATATGAAACAACTGTAAAAACACTTATCCGCAAATAAACTGAAAACTTTGATTTTTATCAGCAAACACTAAAAAAGCCTGAGTGCGAGGAATTCGAGGTTTATTGGCTATTTATAAGCTTAGCAACCACGAAAAAGTTTCCAGGTGTTAGAAAAGGAATGTGGACTCGGCAGCAGCAACAGCAGTTGGATTTTTCTTTCAGGTGTAAAACCTTTAACTCCGCCATAGGTGGTCCCAAGCCCGTGCTGGTAAGGGAGAAGGCTTTTTACGGTGTGTCGCGATTGTCTTCAAGTAAGCGTTAGGGGAAGTAGAAGGATGATGGCAGGACTACTCCCTAAAGAGCAGTTCACCTTGGCAGAGATATAAGGCTTCAACCTCAAAAACATGATCGAGGTAATAACGTTGCAGATACTCCAGGTGGTACCCACGAAGGTGGAAATCCAACAACAGCCGCAGTTGCGGTAGGGGCACGGATTCTGGAGAAGCAAAAACTGCTCTTCGACGAGCCATACTTGTCAATTATAAGGACACAAAAGAGTAAGTGAACTCTGGCAAAAAAAGCTGGCAACAGAGTTCTTTGTGGCTGGAGTGCAGAAAAAAAAATGCCATATCCAGCCAAAAAGTCAGGGACAATAAGCCCGAAATTGACGCTAAGCCTCTAAAGACCGGAAAAGAGCTGCGAACTTCTTAGAATGCTAAGCTGATAGAAAAAAAAAGACAGAAACCACATTCCTCCGGAAGGAATGTGCTGCAAGGTACAGCGCCGTACCGGAGAATGATTCGATCCGCCACCGCGCGCCACAATTGGAGCTGTGCCCATCCACCTTATGGAAAGTTTTACAGAAGGTTCTTGGCTTGCGGCTATAGAAGGCTATAGAACTATAACTAATACATGCAGGTAATTAGTGCCTGAATTAGGGTATATTGATGTAGACGGCACTACATGTCATATAGCCAACGAAGCAATCAATTTAGTGAAGGTAACTTTTGACGAGCGCATTATCACCCAGCGTGGCCTTCAATATCATGTGATTTGACGTCCCTGCTCTATTTTTGTGGGGTTTCCGAAGCCGCTTGCTTAAGCCCGAGACGATTCACGCATGAGAATAGAATATTCGGCGTTTTATTGCTGGAATAAGAGCTCAAATGCAGCAAAAAGTTGACGAAAATTGGGCCTCTCCGCTCAAATTTAATCGAGCCAACTCATCCGAAAGCGTTTTGAAAACATAATTGCAAACCTTTATGGCGAAATTAAACTCTTGACGATAACATTGAATTGTATGCCTTTTGTTTCTTCTTGAAAATCACGGATCCGTGAAAAAATATTTTCTTTTAGTGATTTGAGAGAGCCGCGCGAAATTTGTTTTACTTTTGGCTGCCATAGAATTGAAAACGAGGCCATAAGTATGTAGGAAAAGGTAATTCCTTTCGAGCTCGTCGCGAATCCCTTGCGATGCTGCCGTCGTTTGTGCGCCTGTTGGCATTGGATGAGTGGGTAGGAGATGTCTGGCGATCCGTAAACAACGGGAGTGCATGCCTTATACGCTTTGTATATATGTATGTATATATATATGTATGTTACGTAAGTGAACTTTTATTATATTTGTGTGCACTTTTGAATTTATGTTGTTTTATTTCATTTTATTTTACAACAATAAACAATCACCACTGTTGCTCGTTTAACTAGTTTCTTCGCTTCGGCGGACAATGTTGCGTTGTGTCGTAATCTCAACGCAGTGGCCAAGATCATTCCAATTATATTGAAATACATATGCACATACATACGTGTACATATATAATTTGCACTTGATTGTAATAACCTCACGAATGACGTGCCACAATGAATGCTACAATAAAGGCTTAACAAAAACGGTAGCCTCTGAAAAGTAGTGCAAAAACAAAAATAAAAAAAAATAAAACGAATGGGTTTCACCGTTATACACACAGAGATATAAACACGTGTATTTGTACATTTGTAATATAAGTATATATCAACGAGATTGAGAGTACAGTTCAGCGGCGCTTTGGAGTATTACGATCATTGCTACTGCAGAAATGCCTCTTCATACATATATACATACATATATACGTATGTGTAGAGAAATGAAAACGCATTGAAAGCACGTGGCGAACTAACATTTGAATGAGTTAATTAAATGGTGAAAAATCACTTTTAATTTCAATCCATAAAAATTGGTATATACATATATAAATATATATATGTACATATGTATTGTGGATGCACACATTAACAGATATTTATGTAATACACACATAAATACATATATTATGAACTTTAGACGTTACTATTTCATTCACAGTGATGCACTAATCATGAAGAGATATTCATGTGTGTGTGTGTGTGTGTATGTGCGTAGATCTTTGAAATGCCAGTAAATAGAAAAGAAAAACAAATTATAAAGAGCTTAGTTCAGTTGGAGGTGACTCACTCAGGTCTAGTAATGCTGTAAATATTCGTTTCAAAAGTTCAGCTCGTTCGCTGAGCCTGCAAATCCATCCATTCAAAAAGATCACGATGAAACTTTTTCTTTTCATTAAAAATATAAGTACATTTCCTGTGCACCTTCCCTTTCTGATGAAATGTATGGGCGCAAAGCTAGAAGATTGAGTCCTTTTCAAGGGAGCCTCCTTTGCTATTCCCATTTGCGTTGCTCGATTATTCTCGTCGGGGGTTAACTTATTTGAGTTATAGCTAAATCATCGAAGTTGACCAAATGATGTGAATTCTGAAAGTGAATTCTGAAAGTATGCTTGGCGTGACCTACTGGAAATGGCGCACCGAGCAAACTATTTCCGTAACAGAATAGGAAACTGTTAACGTAAGGACTCACCGAGAGTTTTGCCGTGAGCAAAAAGAAAAAGAGAACCCCAAAGAACTGGAGAGATAATGAAGTTTCTGAAATAATGCACTTCTAGAAATTTTTAAAACAATGGAAGGGAGACACTATACCTTTCAAGCCTTGAGATTGCCCTATTCATCTAACTTGGCTATATTCTTATTCACCGCCTATGGAAGACATCCTTGACCTGATTCTTTCAGCGGAATGATGGTTTTTTCTGTCTCTGCTTTCACGATCGAGTACTGAATTGAACACTTTCAGAGATGGAGTGCTTCGAAACACATTCGCACCACATGTTCTAGTCCGCGTGTTCACTCTCTTTTAATTTGCTGAACTAATTTAACTTATCGTATATCTCCTGCTGTTCAATCCAATGCCAACTCATGCCTCGGCATCATACAGCTAGACGGGTATGATTGGAGATCTGCAGAGTTTGTTTTTTGTTTGTCGAGAGACTACTTTACATTTGCAATTGCCTACTGGGACCAAAGTAGCACACTATTGGCAAGAGTGGTACAGCGTTGGATTTTCAGGTAGACATTGTTATTGGTTCCTATGCTGGATCGAAAATAGACGAAATTATCCATGATTTCAAAGTAATGATTGCCCACAATGACGTTCTCCTCGTTCACTACCAGGCCCAACTCGCTTCGCTACGTTTTTTATCCAGTCTGGAGATAGCAGAACTCACTAGGAATTCCGGCAGTTACAGTAGGCAATTAGAAATTCCTTCCGACAGCCCAAACTCATAGCCGTGTATCCTGACTTGACATTATCGGGACTCTGCGTTCTGGTATTCGT